CCAGGTTCCTGCCTTGAGTTCAGTCCTGACTTCCCTAAGTGATGGAGTATAACTTGAGAATTGTAAGAATTAATTAATTAACAAACAAACAAACCCAACCCTTTCCTCCTGAAGCTGTGTTTGGTCATGGCAATATTAGACTCCTTAGAAGAATTCTCTTGAATGGACTTTTTAAAAGTTACTATATTTTTATTATTCTTTGAGAACTTTGTACATGCATACAATGTATTTTGATCATATTCATTCTCTTCTCCTAACTTTTCCCAGATCTCTCCCCAACTTCATGCCCCCTCTTTTTAATCTCATCAAGTCCAGTTTGTGCTGACTATATATTCAAGGGTACAGCATCAGCCATTAGAGCATGGTTCTTCTATCAGTGAGCACACTCTTAAAGAAAATCGACTCTTTTTATATTAGCATCTCACACTCATTTGGGTTCTCTTCCTTCCTTCCTTCCTTCCTTCTTTCTTTCTTTCTTTCTTTCTTTCAAGAAAGGGTTTCTCTGTAGCTTTGGAGGCTGTCCTGGAACTCCGTAGACCAGGCTGGCCTCGAACTCACAGAGATCCGCCTGCCTCTGCCTCTCAAGTGGTGCTGGAATCAAAGGCGTGCGCCACCACTGCCTGGCCCACATTTGGGTTCTTATGAATACTAAATGAAAAAGAGTTTAGAATCATCTCATCCATCTTCATGATGATTTTTCTCATTTGTGCCTTTGCTTTCTTTCCTTCCCCTGACTCAGCCATTGCAGTCTTAGTATATATTTTGTAAAAGTTAATAGTGCAGAAAAATGGGAAATGGGGATAAAAGAAAATCCCATGTTCACAAGACCTCAAGTTAACTAACTCCTGATACTTAAATGTGCATCTTTTTAGTCCTTTTCCTGTTGAGGCACAAACATACTTGGGGTTTTAAAATTGTGTTATGCTTTCAAGTACAATTGTAGTGTTTTCTAAATTTCTTTCACACAGTATGTAAATTTCCTTACAAAAGGTTTCCATGCTATCATATCAACCCTTTTGGCAGTGGGGCCTCAAATTTCTGTCAGGTGGTCTTCTAAAATATAGTTAGATTCTTGCATGAATTTGCGTAGACTCTTCTGTGGCACACTATGGCTTACAAGGAGAGTCTCCCACCTGAGAAGGATGCCATTGCACTGACAGCAGGGGTCAGTCTTTTCCTTCTGAAGTGTACCTGGATACCTGCAGAAAGTGCTAGCTTGTCCTTAAGGGTGGGCTAAGTTAACCAGAGATATATAGCCTGTGGTGGAGTTTAGGGGATGGAAGAAGGAAGAAGGCCAAAGCTAGAGCCAAAGAGAACACAGGGCTTGGTGACAGAATAAAGGAAACTCTGTGTCTGGGCCATGTGAATCATAACTGGAGAAGTGCATTGGGGCTAGGTCCACTGGCCTGGGAGTTTTTGGTATCCTGTTTAATTACAGCTGGGTTCATTGGCATCAAACTTTTTCAATCAGAAGAAACCCTACACTCTCTAAATTGCTATATTCTTAACCATCCTTCTCTAAAGACAGTTCTCATTCTAGTAGAAATCTGTTGGATTTTTTGTTTACTTTGTGCATTATGATTTTTCCTCATATCTTATTTTGTCTAATGGATTCAGTCGGTGCTTAATAATTATATGTGGAAGAAATGGGCAACATGTAAATTTCCTTTATAAAAAGGAAGATAAGAAAAAGTTGTTCATATTAATATCATTCTCTCTTTTGAGCACAGCAGGAAGACTAGAAATGTACATTATAGACAGAAACACTAATTCTCTGAAGTGTAATGCTGTCTTCCATGATGAGCTTTTGTGTTCCCTGCCTGTAAAGTCCCACATCTATGAAACTGATGGGATGTGAATTCTCTTGAGATATGTAATGTTTGAAAGCATATAATATATTACTTCTTTAATATAGCAGACAGCATGCAAATTACATTGCATTATGATATAGTGATCTCCCAAGGCCAGAAGGTCTTAATAAAAAAAAAAACTACCACATTTGTAAAACACTCTTCTTGTGTGTTTACATTTAATAAATATTCTTTTCAAATCCATTCAGCAAATATAACAGATGAGATGAGCCTAGTTCTGCTTTATGAAACCTTCGAAGATGCCTTTGGGAATTCTCTTTTGTAGTTCATATTTGAATTGTGCAATATTTCAGAAATATAAATGTTTCCTGCCTCTCTTGTAACAAATCCAAACCAGTCTACTCGAGTGCTTCTTCAGACTCATCAAAAACACATTTGTTATTATCGCACAAAGCACTAATGGTTTATTGCCATCTTTAGTGTTTAATTCCTTAATTTTAGTGTTAATGTTGTATCAAGGTTTCACTGCCTTTTAGCTGTTGACAAATTTTTAAGTATACCAGTTCCCAAACATGGGGACAGATATGACTAGCTGGACCTGACAGATGCTTCTTACTATTCTAACTAAAAACATGAAAGCCCTTGTATCTCATCGCTTGATTAGTTTAATAGTTACATATCTCATCAAGACAAATTAGTAATATTTGTTATCTTACAATTTCTGTGGGCCCTGAAGCAGGCAAGTCTTAGCTGTCTTGGCTATGGTTTTTATAAACTCGTAGCCAGGGTACCAGGGTGACTTACCCAGCCTCTGCTAGACAAAGCTCTGCTGGAAATTCAGGCTGTGGCTCTTGGCAGTATTCCTTCCTGCTGCTGGCCACAGGCCTCCTCACCCTTCTAGAGTGAGCTTCTCCACTGGGCACTCCACGCCACAGCAGCTGGCTCCCTTCTGGTGGCAGGGGTGGAGTAGAGAAAGAAAAGGAGCACAGTGCAGCCCACTGCAGAAGTGCTGTCCCCCCTCCAGTCAGATAAAACATTAGGACCATACATTCCTATTTGTTGTGTGATGGTTTCTGTACTTTGAGACAGAGTACAGTCATATGTGTATGAATGCTGGAGATTAATCTAACACCATTAGACTACTATTAAAGTCTGTGCTGCAGTCAATATATAAATATACAACGGAGCACGTTTGGCCCTTACTCAGTGATCTCTGCACACCTTGCATATCCCACAGATGACTGTTCCATATTGTTTTGTCCTTGAAGATTCTGCTGTGGAGGGTCTGCCCGTTCAGGACTTCTCCTGTTGAGACTGTGGCTGTAGCATGTGTTTACACCCAATAATTACACGAGATGTTCATATTTTTGTGTATTTAAATATTTATATTTTTAAAATGAGTATTTCAAAAATTGTGCTTTGGAGAAAGCTCAGCTTTTATTGGCCAGTGAATAGGAAGCCAGGGCTGTCTGTCTGAAGCAGTGGCTGCAGTGTCTACTGAACTAAACCACTTTGTGAATCACCTAGGGCCTGTCTTAGCCCCAAGAGAACCCAGCCTTCCCTGGGTGAACTGTGTGAGTTTAACATCATACCTTATACCTGGAGGCCAGGTCACACATTCCCAGGACAGTCTGGCCTCTGAAGAGTCAGTCCCATGGGCCAGCATAGGCTTCAGTTTCTCTTGAAGTTTTAAATTTTATTTTGTGCATGAGTGTTTGCGTATGTGAGTATCCGTGTATGTGCACCATGTACGTATATGTCTGTGTATGTAAACCATGTGTGTATATGTCTGTATGTGAACCATGTGTGTATATGTCTGTGTGTGCACCATGTGTGTATATATCTCTGTGTGTGAACCATGTGTGTATATGTCTGTGCCTGTGCACTGTGTGCGACTGTGTCTGTGCACATGCTCCATATGCATGCCTGATGCCCAGATCAAAAGACGGTGTCAGATAACCCTGAACTGGAGTTACAGATGCTTGTGAGTTACCATTTGGGTGCAGGCAATTCTTTTTTTTTTTTTTTTTTTTTTTTTTTTTTTTTTTTTTGCTGAATACTGGGCAGTATGGCAATAAGCTAAATGTTACAGGAAACAATTATTCCATTGGACATTGCTAGTCACTATGAATGATAGTTGTATGTAGTTGCTTCATATTCTCTCTGACACTGGGCACTGGGCAGTTTTAAAGTTTGGCCATTTAAAATTTGTGGTGCTGTTACTTCATAGCTTAACATGCGTGTCACTGATGATATGAGCTTCTTCACCTACTCTCTGGCCAAAATATGTATTCTTTGTGACTTGTCAGGACAAATGTCTCTTGGCCAACCTGTACTAGCATCCTAGTAAATTCACAAACACTACACCTTGCCTTGTAATCACCATTTACCCCAAGCCAGACACCAATACGGGGCAGCTCCTTGCACCAGTATGTGGCAGATGCATTTATTATAACAAAATGGTTAGGGTGAACCATCCCAGGGCCCATGTTCATTAGCAGAGGTTATACTTGTTTTGGAGACTTTCCCAGTCGCTAAGGGACTTGCTCCTTAGAGCAAGAGCAAAGTGACTTTGGTTTTCAATTGTTTTAAACTTAGTGATAGATATTCCTGGTAAAATAAAAATGAATCCATAGAAAAATGAAATGCTTATTGAGAAATATAAGCTCCAATATTTATAGATTCAACAGATATATAGTAACTGAATAAAATTGCCTTTAAGACTTAAATGTTCTCTTGATTTTCATATTTATTGTTGTGGGTATGAAAGGAAATTTGAGGACCTGGCCCTCAGTAGTGCTGATGTTCTGGGTAAGAGGGCAGGAGTCCCGAGTTAAGTCGGTGGAAGTGTGGCCCTTCAAAAAAGCCCATGTGGCTCAGTGTGTCCATGCTGATGATAATTTATCTCTTGTTTTCTGGGTACTGGGGAGCCAGAGAATTCTCAAAAGGATGATGGATGGGTGGCATCTGTGTGAAGGGCTTATAGTTGGGATACATTGCTGTCAAGGACTGCCACATGAAGGGCCAGGAGTGATTTTGGAGTAAACAGAAGAAAACAGGCCCATATCCAAGTTTTAAACAAGTCACTCTGTCAAAGTTTCTGGTAGATGCTTTAGAGGGGGCAAGAATTTAACTGGCTGTTCCCTCAGTGAATAATCCCAACAGAGACTCCCACTACTGTCTTTTCAGAAACCACTCAGATTGAAGATCCGAGAAAACAGTGGCGGGGGGAGCAGGAGAAGATGCTCAAGGACTATCTCTCGGTGGCCCAGGATGCACTCAGGACACAGAAGGAGCTGTACCATGTGAAGGAACAGAGGCTGGCCCTGGCCCTCGATGAGTATGTCCGCTTGAATGATGCCTACAAGGAGAAGTCAAGTTCTCGCACAAGCCGTGAGTACTGTGTGGCTGGTCACGCTCCAGAACTGAGATGAGATTGCAGAGAGGCGAGGGCCACTCACACTGCTGTGGAGTTAAATTCTTTCCCTCCTAGGCAAAAACTCCTCCAAGCCATGAGAGATGAGGGTGACCCCAACAGATGGTTCAGGGAAATGCCCTATCCCCACTTGAGCCACAGGGCACTGTTTCTCCTGGTTGCCTTTTGTTTGAGTAAATTTCTCTGCCAGAACAAGGAAAGGAGGCCAGAGGCATCTGATGCCCTAAAACTATCACAGAGAGTTGCAAGCTGCCCAATATGGGTGCTCGGGACTGAACTCAGGTCCTGTGGAAGAGCAGCAAGCACTCTATGCAGACCAAATTTGAGCCTTTTAAAGGGGACTTTTGGACCTCAGTCCCCGCCCTCTACTCTATTAATGCATCAGTCATCGGGAGCTGGCATTAGTTAAAGAAGCAGCAATGATGGATTCTGAAGTTTTAAGTGGTAGCCCCCTAAGGAGCTGCTCAGCAGAGCTCTATAAGGACCCAGGAAAAGTTCAGTGTTTTTGTATCCTGAGGTTTGAGTTTGTTTTGTTTTTAATATGACAAAGGCTTGAAGAGCCAGGCCTGGTGGTTCGTGTCTGTAATTCTTGCACTTGGAAGGTTGAGGCAGGAGAATCACTACAACTTTAAGGCTAGCCTGGGCTGCATAGTTAAGATCCTGTTTCAAAAATAAAATAGGCTTGGCATAAGTGTGAGAACCTATCTCTTAAAAGAGAAAAACAAACAAGCAGTTCCTATAAAAGAACATAAATCTTGGCTGTGTGTGTGTGTGGGGGGGGGGGGGGGTTGTGGTTGTGGTTGTTGTTTTTACAGGAACCAGGAAGGTCATTTTGAGACAGGATCTCACAAAGTTGTTTAAGCTGTCCTTGAACTTGCCTTTTAGCCCAAGAACACTTGATTTTGCAATCTCTCTGCTTCAACCTCTCATCTAACTGGGATATAGGGCTGGCTTGAAATACCAAGTCATGACCCAAAACCTTATCTTTTTTTGTTTGTTTGTTTTGATTTTTGAAACAGGGTTTCTCTGTAGCTTTAGAGGCTGTCCTGAAACTAGCTCTTGTAAACCAGGCTGGTCTTGAACTCACAGAAATCCACCTGCCTCTGCCTCCCGAATGCTGGGACTAAAAGCATGCACCACCAACGCCGGGCTCCAAAACCTTACTTTTAAGATCAGTAAATTCCAAGCTTACAATTATTGCAATTGACAAGTAATATTTTTTTTTCTCTTAAAAGTCTTCTCAGGGTCTTCATCCAGCACTAAATACGATCCTGATATTTTAAAAGCCGAGATCTCCACCACGCGATTAAGGGTAAGATTGTTTTCATTGTGGTTCTTGAGTGAGTAAGTGCACAGAAGCTCGGGCCGTGGAGGAAGCATGAGTGACTGCCTCCCATCTCTGCCTCTGAGGGAAGCTTCTCCACTCTACCCTGCAGGGCGTCCTTTCTCCTTTGAGGGATGGTTGGGATTACTTTTGTCTCCCATCCAAATGCTAGCCAGGCCTGACCCTGCTTAGCTTCAGAGATCAGATAAGATCTGGTACCTTCAGGTAGCGTGGCCATGGCCTGGGATACCTTTGTTACTGTTGCTGGCTTTTCTTATTAGCAGTTAGTGTATGCAAGGGAAATCTGCATCCTGATAATTTACTTTCCCCCTTTGTCTTGCAAGACAGTTTGCTCTTTCATCAGATGCCCTGGTATTTAAAAAGGTGTCTGCAACTCCTACTACCTTGTTGGTCTGTCATCCCTTCTCAGGATGGATTATTTCCTGATCATTGCTCTAATTATTTCGATCAAGCTGATAAGTACCCATTTTGTTTATCATTGATGGGGGGATCATATGGAGCAAATTGCATCATGTGTGTAATAGTTGCCATGTTAATGAAGCAGATTATCATCATAACCCCAGGAGCCTGCACGGCACCCTCACATGATCTCTTATTGCCATTCTCTGCTAGAAACAATGCTCGCCTTGCTAGCTCTGAGTCGAATGCTTTTGTTAACATTGTCAAAGTGGAATGCTTCTCATGTGTGTGGTTGGTTCCATGGCATTTTTTCCCAACATTATTCCAGGATTCATTCACATTCACTTTTAAAGCTAAATAGCTACTACTTTGGCAGACACATTTCTCTGTTTTACCACCGATGGATGTATATTCATTTACTCCATTTCCTGGCCATTCATAATTGTCTCTGTGTATGCATCACACATACTTTTGGTGCATACATGAACACACTTACTTTTAAGATCAGTAAATTCCAAGCTTACAATTATTGCAATTGACAAGTAATATTTTTTTTCTCTTAAAAGTCTTCTCAGGGTCTTCATCCAGCACTAAAACCTTCAGTTGTTCGAAAATGAAGCCTGCCTCTCTGAGAAAACATAGATATAAGTATATTGCCCTCCATACGGTGTCATCAGATTCTATCATATCCTTTGGGATAGGACCTAGGCCCACCCTGTGTGTCTTGGCTCAGGTAGTATTCCTATATGTGGAATGGGCTCCCAGAGTCCACACCTATGCTAGGTATAAGTACTGAACTACTACAGGAGGTCCTGTAGATTTCCCAGGTTTCCTCACTGAAACCCATGTTCCTGGGGTCTGGATCAGTCCCATGCTGGTATCCCAGCTATCAGTCTGGGGAGCAAGAGTTCCCTGATGTTCAGGTCAGCTGTTTCTGTGGGTTTCACCAGCCTGGTCTGGACCCCTTTGCTCTTCACTTGTCCTTCTCTGCATCTGGATTCCAGTTCAGTTCAGTGATAAGTTGTGGGTGTCTGCTTCTACTTCCACCAGCTGCTGGATGAGGGCTATCGGGTGGCATATAAGTCAGTTATCAATCTCATTATCAGGGGAGGGCATTTAAGGTAGCCTCTCCTCTGTTGCTTAGATTGTTATCTGGTATCGTCTTTGTAGATCTCCAGACATTTCCCTAGTGCCTGATTTCTCTGTAAACCTAAAATGGAGATACCATAATAGAGTGAGACATTTTAGGTTAATCATTTTCATAGTTATCTTTTGTGACACAAGTCATAGTCACAGAAGACCACTGTAGTCTGTGCATTCATGGAAGAAAACATCGAAACTTTGGAAGGGGTTAAAAACAAAAACATACTGAGGTCCCTCATACAAATAACCATTAAGAGGGTCCTGTCAATCAAGGACCTTAGGACACCTCTGTGTGGTCACATCCCCAGACCTGTTTCCTAATGAGTCCTTAGCAAGGCTTATGTTGTGCCAGGATTTCTGGTCTTAATTAGGGGCATTATATATTTATTGTACCTGTTCTGTCACCTCGTGACTACAAGGTGAGCCAGAGAGAGATGCCCTCCTTGGGAAGGTGAGTCTGTGAAGAAGAGGATGTGAGATATCCTCTCGATGCCCTTAGATAGATGGACAGTTGAAAATGTGTTTTAGAAGGCCCCCCGCTCTGCTGCTGCTTTATGCTGGAGCCTGCTTTGAGCACTCTGGCTGACTCTGCTAACTCTCCAAGTGTTGGCTGGGTAGCACTTGGGGAAGGAGGAGGAGATGGCTGGGTAGCACTCGGGGAAGGGGGTGTCTGGGTAGCATTTGGGGAAGGGATGGGTACCATTATAGAGTCTCTGAGGTCATACAAGCTGCTTTCATAGGTTGATGTCTGAAGGGAGTAATAGATGAGGGAACTAGCCATACCGCTCTGGCACCCACCTGCATTTTACAGCACATTGACAGTTTGGGGCATAAACAAGCACTAGTTTTTTTTTTTTTTTTTTTATTTCATTGCTTTGATGGAACAAAATACCAAGTTACTGTGTGGCTTTTCCTAGGGAGATGTACAGGTTCCTATTCACAGATAGGACATGAGTAGACCAAAGAAACTACCCTGAGATGGTCCATCCTAATGATCTAGGAGGGTTACTAGGGTCACACAGAAGGAACATGGGTTACACTGAAGTGTGTTACGTCTTAGACAGATCTATCACCAAAAATCCAAGCCTAGCATGACTGAGGACTCATTACAACTGTATCTCTGGAGTCTCCTGTGCAATTAAATTTAAGGTTTGATTTGTAATTGCATATAGAGTTGAAATAATTAATATAAAATATTGTGCTTTAAGCAGTATTCTAAATAATGTAGTAAAAATCATATCAATGTTTTTGACATAAAAATATGCCATATGATATGAATCACTAAAAATAAGGATTGACTTTTTCACTACACATGAAAGATCTTTATATTTGCATTTTGTATAATCTTTAGCTTAAAGAGGTACATGCCTATGATCCCAGCCTGCTTCAGCTCCATAGCCAGCCTGGGTAATCCTAATAGATTCTCTCTCTCTCTCTCTCTCTCTCTCTCTCTCTCTCTCTCTACACACATACCCTTTGTCTTACATTCTGAGTTACAGATGTTGCTGACCTGATTTCCAGGATGCAGGAGTGACCAACGCTAATTTGTGGCCCCAGAATTTACATTGGATGTTTTATGCTTAGAATATTTAGATCAATTTGTGTACTAATAGTTGGTGTTTGGCTAAAGAATACAGTACAATTTTCTTACTGGTTTTGAATGAAATTAGAAATTATATGGCTGGGGCTGGAGAGATGGCTCAGAGGTTAAGAGCACTGGCTGCTCTTCCAGAGGTCCTGAGTTCAATTCCCAGCAACCACATGGTGGCTCACAACCATCTGTAATGGGATCTGATGCCCTCTTCTGACTTGCAAGCCAACATGCAGAAAGAACACTGTACTCATAATAAAATAATCTTAAAAAAAAAAAAAGAATTATATGGCTAAGAAAAAGAGGAACTCGAAAGAGAAATTGAGAGAAGAATGTGCAGTATGAGAGCTATCCATACACATACCCTACTAGTAACTTCAAGGTAATTCACAGCACATTTGTGCCCCCCCCAAAAAAAAAAATCAGTGTCAAGCCTTGAAAAGATATAACAATCATTTCATGGATTTAATGGTATTTTATTTCTGTTTTTCTCTAATGATTTTGACCTCTTTGACTAATTTTTAAGGGCTCTGTACTGCAGGCTAAATAATATATGCAAATGAATTCCTTCTTTGACATTGTGTTGTTGAGAGATTCGTAGCTTCTTCTCACTCATGTTAAGTCACTAGCTTCTTTACTCTATTTCTACTGTGCTTAGAGCCTTTTACAAAATTAGATTCAGCTGACTTCTCTAGGAAAGAATATGGTGTCTTCCTATAGTGTAAACACACACACACACACACACACACACACACACACACACACACACCCACACCAACACACACACACTGAGACAAATACATTTGTAAATGATCAGTTTCTATGGTTTTATGAAGCCTGGACAAACAAGAAGCCAGAACAGGAAAAGAACATTTAAAGCAGGCTAAAGGGAATTATCTTAGATTAAAAAAACACTTTATTGGGATAAGGGAGTGAATATGCTGGAAATACATTGTATGCTTGTATAAATTCTGAAAGAATAAAAACTTTTTTTTTCTTTTTTGTTAAAATTTTTTGTGATCTTTTTTATTTAAATTAGAAACAAGATTGTTTTACATGTCAATCCCAG